CTCTTTCAAGCCTCATGATAAACATATCATGGTGGACAAGATGTTTACCAATAGTCCACGGCGCCGATGCACACAATGCCCAAGACCAGTCACCATTCCCAGAACCACGGTAAACAAACACCCACCATGCAACGCAACCTCCTGGTCTCAGGTTGACGTTGCGGCTCGGAGGAACAAGAAAACAAAGTGTGTCTCGAGCAAGCCACAATCACTGTCAAGCGGCCGCATCACACTCGAAAAACGACACCCACCTCGAAAAGCTTCCGTGGCTGGACCCGTCTGGTCTTCCGTGCATCCCACCCAAGCACCCACCCACCCTCTTCGCAACGGCAGCAGCAGGAGGAGCAGCAGGAGCTAACGCGGCGCACACAGCAAGGTACGGCGCCGTCTCACGCACCTTACTCATGCACGACGACCGAGACGGATATTCGAGTGCCCCCCCCCCCTCACCAGAATATGCGGGGTAAGATGGTTATCAGCAAAGAGACATCTGACAGGGATTCCTCATCCGGCACACCTTGCCAGTGGACGATTTTAGTCTATCTTATCTACAAGCATATTCACGTCTTGTCTCTCTCTATCTTGGGCCAGTGACCAAGTGTGGCGCAAGCACTGTACGCCATACGGCACGACGGAGACCGAGCGATGGAGAGACTGTTACACAACACGCGGAGCAACCATGGGGCGGGCGTCGAGGGATCTCTGTGTCTCGGGCATGTCTCTGCTTCGTCTGCGTGGACCCGCTGCAGCATCTTGGGGCGGGTTTGACCCAGCGAAAGTCGGCCTGCAGTCTTCCATAATCTTTCCCCAGCTCTTGTGACGCCTCCCACAACCTCCTCCTCGTCATCGGCACGCCGTGTATGGCTGTCGTGCGGCCGTGTTCCTGACCGAGGTGGCGGGGCAGCGGGGCAGCGGGGGCGCTGTGGTTCAGTTCAAAGACAACGAAACTTGCTTCTGCTTCGTCCTCGCAGCGCGCGCCGCCGAGAGCACCACATGACGAGCAAAAGGCACCATTGAGGACCGAGAGACGAGGGGAGAGAAAAGGCCACACGGTACGGTGAAGACGCGCGCACGCGCGCGCCCGTTGCACGAGGTCATGTGCCCGCCCGCCCGGAGCCCGACCGCCTACCAACACTCCTCCACCCGGCTCCTCACAGCAGAGACGAAGAGTTACGTTGGCAGAGTCGGGTCGCCTTCCTCGGTCGGGTTGCCGTCGGCGTGGTCTCTCGGGACTTTGGCATTGGGCAGCGAAACATAGGCTTGGAAAAGGGGGCCCGCTTGGCCTTTCACCCCCCCCCCCCTTGGCCCCCTGCCCTGTGGCCCCTGATGTAGAGAGAGGGAGAATGGGAGAGATGATGTTTCTCGGTATTTCCTGCTGCCGCTGTCCCCATCAACCTCTTGCGTTTGATGGCCGGCGATGATGTGATTTGCGCAGCTGAACGTAAGGCGAGGGGGCTAGCGCCTCGAGGGTTCCAGCTGGCGTGGAGCCAGGTCCAACACTGTGAGCGAGTGAGGAGGGAAGAGAGGGAGGAGGGGAGGGGGGGGGGACCCCTCTTCATTCCTCACACGCTTGAACACTGAAGCTAAGAACAGGCCCTGAAGCTACGGGCCGGCCGGGTGCAGAGTAGCACGAAAGTTGACCACCCCCTCCTCCTTTAGCACCCGAGATAAGATGGCGGGAACGGGAAACGACGGCGGAACCTTGAAGTCCCCCCTTCCTATTGTTGCTCCATTGTCGAGTGGGTTGTTCTCCGGGGATGTGTGCTTGCTGAGCTTCGGACCGTCCCTGAGTCGCAGGTCTTGGTCGGTGGAAGTTGGATATTCGAGCAAAAGAGCATCGTCAGGCTGTCATTGGTCTCTGGGGTCCCCTGGTATTGACGAGGGCCTCGCCTTGCGCTTGGTCGTTTTCTCCGAGGAGAGGAGGGGGGGGGGCTGGCAACGGGCACTGGCGACAAGGCGAGGCGAGGCGAGTGGCTGGTGAGAGGAAGGCGTGTGTAGTCGGGAAAGGGGTGTGGGCGAAGAAAAGAATGGCATATAGAAGACACTGCACAGTGCTGTACTAAAGGTAAGGCAGGGCAAGGAACCTAGGTAGGTTGCATGTGGGTAGGTACCTTAGGTAGGTCGGAGACCCGGGTAGGTCGAGAGGGGAAGAGGCGGGAGGAGGGGCAGAAGTCAGTTGACGATGGAGGAGTGGGGCGCCGTAGACTGGGCTGGCTCCTCTTTCGTGCACGCCAAAACGCCAAAATGACAAGGGATGTGTGATCGAAACGACGACAGTTCCTCGTTGGCCGACTAGGGAGGAGGGGGTGTTCCCAGAGTGGATATCGCATTATTGTTTCCCATCTTTGGCTTCCCGTGTTTCCGTCGCCTGGGATGGGTCGAGTGATAGAAAGAGAGGGAGATATCGCTTGTTCGCAGATCGGCCTCGGCATGACATGACTCTAGTCGACCTCATCTCAGAAGAAAGCGACAGGAGATTCAGACAGATTCAGACAGACAGAGCAGACAGACAGAGAGGGAGAGAGAGGCATTTATCTGGTCTATTCTGGTTCACTTGGATTTATCCGCAAACCTAGCGCTGGGTCTGAACCACAGTCGAACTAACACGGTCGGCAGTGCCATCGTTCTCTCCTTTGTACGCAAACAGACTGGTGGGCTGCTTGTTCGCTGGCTCCCATCTCGGCAGGGGCCCCGGGTATCGCCCGCTCGACGCCGGGCGCCATGCCACGCACCATGGCCGGCCGGTTTTGTTAAAGCGTTGGGCGCCGGTGTGTAGAAAAGCCGTGCAGCCATATGCCAGTCGCGTGGGCGCAGAGGCTATCTGCGTTAAGACTCGAGAACTCAGGCCGCTGGCTCAACGACACGACAGGAACAATGGGGGCAGCAGGAAACATTCTCAACGTTGACACGAAATGTGGCGTGTTTTCTTTTTCTTTGAGCCAACATGCATCTATTGTTCTGTGCGCTTTCTGCACAGTTCATGTACATGTAGGTGGGTAGGTAGGTAGGTACCTAGGTTGAGCAGCGCGGCTACGGGTTCTAGGATCCTAGGATCCATGCTTTGCTGCTGCAGAGAGCGGAAGGGAGGGAGGGAAGATGGCAGATGGCAGATGGCTGGCAGAGGCATTAGGAGTGGCAGTGGCAGATGCATGCTGGAGAATATGCTGCGCTCGAGAAGGGCACACATCCTGGTCGAGGCCGCGAAGGAGGGGGGGATGCTGGTGCTGGCGCGCCGTCTTCCGCTGGTGTGAGATGTACAGTACCCTTTTTAGCAGTCTTGGGGCCAGAAAGTGCGATGGGCAAGACAAGGGGCACGTTGAGGCAGATCAGGTTGGCAGGACCAAGAAAGCTGGCAAGAGCGCTGGCAAGAGCGCTGGCAAGAGCGCTGGCAAGAGCGCTGGCAAGAGCGCTGGCGACAGAAAAAGACACAGCGAGAAAGAGAGACAGAGAGAGAGAGAGAAAGAGAGCGCGCGCAGAAGAGACGGAAGAGAAAGAGCAGGGCGCTTAAGGCAGTCTCGAGCCAATGGGAGAGTTAGCGCCCTCCAAATAGAGTCGCACTGCAGGGAATTATGACCAATGAGCGGTGTGATATACCCCGTCCGACCCCCGATGGAGCATCGAGTGAGCTTCGGTCCTGCATGGATGAAGGTTGCAGCTGCATCTCGTACCAATGTACCAAAACTGACCACCAATCAGACCCCGCGGCAGTCGCACTGCCGAAGGTGGCCCAAGCTCTCGAGCTCTCCTCTCTTCCTGCCTCTCTCTCTGCCTCTCTCTCTGCCTCCGCCTCTGCCCAAGACAAACACCATGACCATCACCACCAGATGGATGCGCCCTGGCTCCTTCAACCCAACCACGGCCACTGACTCGATCCACCCCAAGGCCAGACATCCCGCCCGCCCTCCCCACGCTTGGCTGGGCTTGGCCTGGCCTGACCTGTCCTGTCCTGTCCAAGTCTTGCTGCGCGATGATGGAGGATGCCGCCGCCTGTGGCTTGCCTTGCTTGCCTACCTCTTCTACTAGTTTTCGTCCTCGCCTACCTCAACGACCACACAGGCTCGAGCTCTCACACACACCCGCACCCGCACACCCTCGTCGGACCGCTCACAAGACGTTTCCAGGGGTCTATTATTATACCACCCTGCCAGTCTAAGCAGCAAGCTCCATGGCGGGAGGGGGGGGGGGGTGCTTGTGTGGCCTGTTCTTCCCATCATCGGCATACCTGGCAGCGGTCAGTTGTTGAATTCCCTGTCAACCGACCGGCCCTTCACTCTGCGATACAATGGGCATCTTGCCTGTGACTGCCAACGCCCCAAAACCCAGTCGAAAAGATTCTGTTGGGTTGGGCTGGCCCGGTCGTCGGCCGTGTGCGCAAGTGCAACACGGCCGAATCACGCACATCGCACCATGCATGCGCGCTGCTGCCGCACCCGACTGTGATGTCCCATGCCGATGCTCCTCGTCTCTCGCGGTACCATGCTAAGTCCTGGGTGCCAAGTGCTAAGTGCTAAGTGCCAGGACGCCAGGATATGCTAAGATGATGGGCTGCTGGGATGCTGGCTCACGTCTTTCGCGCTGTGCC